CGTACGGGCTACCCGCGCGTACGGGGAAGCTGAATTTAAATTTGCGGGATCACACAGTGGATGGGGAAACGTGTCCCTAAATTTTCAGCTTCCTGAGTTGAAAGTTGCGGACAAGTTGCTGCGGAAACACACACACACAGATAACACCGTGACAAAATGCGTTTTGCACTGCTGTTTTACAGCACAAAACGCATAATAAGCGATCATTCTGATGATAATTGATGAGATAACGCGCAAATGCCGCATACGTCGACTCGGCGCCGTGGAGCTCTACAGTATCGATTAGTCGAGAAAGCCTCCCGACTGAAAACAGGGAAGAGCGGGGGGAGGGGAGGGGGGAGGCAGTAACGTAGACATTGATGCATACCATTAATTGTTCTTGATCAAACTACCCGAGAGCGATTTTTTTTATAACAGTTGTTTTCCATTCATTTATGATCCTACAAATTCAAACGTAACTCTTACAAAAGTCTATGTTTCAAGTATGAGTAAGCAGGGTTTTTGAGGAAGCAATATCGGAACCAGACAACATCTCGACTATTTTTGCGCACAACAGCCGAATATTCTGACATCCGCTGGATCATTTGCGGAAAATACACAATTGTAGCGGCTATCCCTGGTGAGCGTTGTAACAGCTTATCGCCAGAAGCACACCACAGTAGCAAGGTTGTTACTGCAGCCAAGCGAGATCACTGCCCGGATATGCTTTCAGCTAATATCTCCACTCTTTTTAGCGGTAGCGTACCCTCCTTCTTCTTCCCACGTGTACCAGTGAGTGTTATCCGACGTGAGACTGTGGCGGTCGTTGGCGCTCCTCCGTCTCCTAACGAATATGACAAATTTTAAAATGGAAATTTTCGCACAAACCTTATGATGAAGTCCGTGTAGAAGGAAATGTAGAATAATCTGAGTACGTGATTTCGGATTAGGCTGCCAGTGAAAAGCATAGCGATGAAGAATGTATTCAAGTAGTGTCCAAGCCAAGACGCCGAAAGTGAAAAGCGCTGCCCACAGAAACAGGCCTGATGCAAAGCCTGGAATTGAACAGAAAATCCTCCTCACCAATCAACATAAAAACTCTCGACACATCCAATTACGGTGCAGCCTCGAGGAGCATCATCATTAAGCAAAACGCAGCGTTGTGTGTGTAAGACTGACACATCAAACGTAAGAATACCGCGCGTATTTCTCATTCTCTAAATGCAAAGACACCCGGAGAGGCCTGCATGACAGCACTGTACCAAGAAAAACTGCCGACACTCCCCACTACCGCACAGTGGCCTATCGCAGAAAAACAAATGGTTTCACCCACTGGGATAATCCGCATGCTAAGCATCGACGTACCAGTACCACAAAGAGAATGCAGTTTCGGACAGGATTCAAGCACTTCCCGAGTGTCGACACTGAGACTGGAAATCAGCAGTATATTCAACTCACCGTAACTGCGAAAAACCAACGAAAAGGCGCGCATGGTGAAGATGATAACGAGAGGCAACCAAACCAGAGGTACCACCCACCAACTTGTTCTTGTCATATTTTCCAAAATGTCCGATGCGAACAATCGAAATGTGCCATCGTGCGGCTGATGTATCCACGTCCAGTATCGATCACCCAGATCGCCAACTTTGTCCAAAATTGGCTCATCCGTAACCAAGCTATCGCTTTCCTGAGTCAAAAAAAGAATGAGGTCCATAAAGCCAAAGCTCACACTGAATCCATCGTTGTTTTTCATCAAAAAAAAAAAAAAAAAACCCGGACCGCTCAGTAGGAAAGCTGGTGCGATCATGTGTTTCGTGCAACCCTGCGCAATTCTGTCCAACGGACGTTTCTGCAACACTGCCCAAATGATGTTTGCGCAGCTCTGTTCAGCGAACATTGCTGTTAAAAATG